TACTGCTGCTGATGCCACTCTGAAAATAAATCCTCAAATAAAGATAGATGCACATCTGAACAAAGTATGTCCAGCCACTGAGACCATTTATAATGATGAATTTTATACTAAACAAGATATAATTATTACAGCATTAGATAATGTGGAAGCCAGGAGATATGTAGACAGGTATGTTCTTGAAATTCAGGTTCATAAGGAATTATCTTTTGTTTTTGCTTTTTTCCCCATACCTACTAATTAAAAAGTTACCAATATTTTTGGTTATTCTTTATGTTTCTATTATAGTACTACTCAAACCCTTTGATGTTTTCCTATTATACTTCAAAAAATTCAGTATGTAAATGTTTTTCATGTACTTCCTACCACCTATCCACACACCAGCTTAAAATGTACCCAGTTTCCCCCAGGCTCCCCCTCTGCACCTAGCTACATGTGCCTTCTTTTGGTTCTTAGAAGACCTATAGCACTTTTTACCTCAGGAACTCCCACTTACTCTTCAGTCTTCAGGAAGTGATATTTCTCTTCCTCTAAAACTCCTGTCTCAAGTCTAGCTACCCCGCTCTTCAGTTTAGGTTTTTTCTTCATTTTTTTCAGTTTGAACCTAAATGTCTTTCTTAAAACAGATTTTTTTTTGACCCTTCAATATACTTTTTCTTTAATGATTCTTACTGACATGCATATTTATGTAATGTTTGTTTCCTCACTAAATCATTCATCCAGAGACCATTTATTTTTTTATCAGTATACTTTCAGTGCCAAATACATGGCATCACTCTATAAGTATTTGTGAAATAAATAGATATTAATGAGTAATTATAAATATGTACACCTTGCTTAATCTTTCTTAGATTGTTTTATGACTCCATAATGTTAGGATGCTAGAGCAGATATATTAACACATGAAATTTTACCATTGAGAAATGTAGTGGAGAGATTATAATCTTGAGAGGAAGATAGTAAAAGGAACTAGAAACTTATGACATTAAAGTGCATAGAATGTAGATAACGTGAATACTGGAAAAGTTAATACGATTTGGGTAACACAGTTAAGAATTAACCTGGTAGTAGTAGAAGGGAAAGACAAAAATGACTAGGGTTTAGTAAAAAAGAAAATTATGTGTATGGCAGATTTTGGCTGGGAAGTAGAAATGGGTCATGCGTCTGTTTCCTAAAATACTACATTCAGGTAGTGATCAATATGGAAATGGTAAATAGAAAGTGGTGGATGTCCTTTGTTTGCTTGTTATTGCTCACTTGTGTGTTTTGTACATACTATTTTTTTGTACAGCCGTTGCTTAGCAAATCTACGGCCTCTCTTAGATTCGGGAACAATGGGCACTAAGGGACACACTGAAGTTGTTGTACCTCACTTGACTGAATCTTACAATAGTCATGTAAGTGAACCAGTATTTTGAACTAAAATGTCTGTCGTCTTTATATCATAATTTTTTTGTCTTCATCATTCAGTCAACAAAATAGATTTAGATTTAGCCTTTTTCTTTATGGTAGTACTAGGGGTTTGAACTCAGGTCCTCACACACACTTGCTAGGCAGTTGCTCTACCACTTGAGCCACACCTCCAGCCCTTTTATGTATTGGGTATTTTAAAGATAGAGTCTCAAGAACATTTACTCATACTGGCCTCGAACCGTAATCCTCCTGATCTCTGCCTTCTGAGTAGATAGGATTACAGGCATGAGCCACCAGTGTCTGGCTAGATCTAGCTTTCTTAATTCTGTTTTTGGTGCCCCAAGTATGTCCGTGTGAATTTTTAAAAATATAATTGAATGTATTTTTTAGTAATGGCTAAAACTTTATGTCCTTTCTGGAATATTCTTTTATTTTTTTCTTTTTGTGGTGCCAAGGTTTGAAGTCACAGCCTTGTGCTTGCTAGGCAGGCACTCTACCACTTGAGCTGGGTCCTCAACCTATTTCTCAGAGCTTCTTGATTACTTTTCTAACCTTAGAGTTTAAGATTACTTCATAAAATAATTAAACTTTTAGACTGAGAATAGAACTGTCAATAAAGACATAAAATTATTTCATTTGTTGTTCTTTTTTATTATATTTTGTTAGACATTAGCTGGTGTAAAAAGTAAAGAACTCAATTCTAATTGATATACAATGTTTGTTCTCATTAAAGCATTTACAACCCTAGCATGCAGTGTCAGAAATATCTGAAACTTAGTAATTATCAAGTACAAACGCTCGTGGCTTACTCAAAGTCTAACTGAAGAATCATATTCTTCTTAAATGAAACTAAGCCATCTCTGTGTATATATTTTAAATAGATGATATAAATGTAACTTTTAAAACCTATAAGCTATTTTGAGATACTGTCAAAGTTGAAACCTCTAGTCTAGGAAATAACTGTAGCCATTGCATTTTTTTTCCTACTTGGTGGGACTGGGATTTGAGCACTGTGCTTCACACTTGCAAAGCAGGTGCTCTACCACTTGAGCCACACTGCTATTCCATTTTGCTCTGTTCCTTTTGGAGATGGGGTCTCATGAAATTTTTGCCTGGCTGGCCTCAAACTGAACTCCTCCCCATCAATCTCCCAAGTAGCTAGGATTGCTGGTGTGAGCCACCAGCACCTGGTTTGTAGCCATTGCAATTTTAAAAAGATCAACTCAAGTAAAATAATTGAAAGCATGATAATTTTATAAGCATTAGTGTACTTTTACTTAAGATATGTGTTTGGTTTACTAAAATTGCTCAATTTTTATGAAGTTTATAGTTTCCCCATGTCTTTTCATGAAATAAATTTATATATGCAGTGAAAACATTATAATAGACTAAATTGACAAGTTGAACTTGAAGGCAGTTAGGTGGGGGAAAAAATCACAATATGCTGAATGTTATTGGGAGACTTTCAAAGTAAGGAACACTATAAAATTCTAAGTTTTCTATCATTCTTCATGTTTCCTAAACTGTCTTCTAAGTTTTTTGACTTCAAACTCTAAAAACCAGAATGTAGTACTCTTCTGGCTTCTGTTACTAGATTATACAGATATAGGGATAACTCATAAGTCAACAAACTAAAATATAAATCTCTAAGTGAAGAGAAACTAATTAAGTTATTTTATATTGAATAAACCAGTAAGCCTGAACTATAAACACACCCTATGATAGATAATAATTTCCCATTTATTTAGTACACACTTTAATGTAAGAAACTACTAAGAATCCAACATTTTGTTTCGGATGTTTTTGGAGAGACTTGTGGTACCATGAGCTCTGTATTGAGGATTTTTTTTTTTTTTCTCATTTTGAAGCTTTAGCAAGGACTTATTTTAGTATAAGAGGGTAAAGTAGGGAGAAGAGAGGAGGGGGAAAAAAAGGAAGAAACATTTCCTGCTCTCCATGCAGGAAATGGGAATAAAGACTCAAAATGGTGGCTTTTGCTTTATGCTTCCTGAGCTGGGGGAAATACACTTTAGACAAAGGTTTTTGGGTGAATATGATGGGTGCTGTTTATTTTTCTAAAACATGGAGAGGAGAGCTAGACCCACCCAAAAGACAAGGACAATAGGTAATTTTAGGACTTCCCTTTGCCAGACATGTCTTTTATTCTTTTGTCTTTTTTTTTTCATTCAAGGAGCCTTGCAGGGTCTTCATATCTCTTATCCTTGTAACATAACATCTAAAAGAAGGTGACGGGAGGGGAACTTGCTGCTATATATTTTTTAAGGTTTCACTTTATGGCTTTAATGTCTGAGTCTAGCCCCCTAATTTTATTTTTTGTCTCCTTATGTATCTATCCTGCTTCATTACCCCCACCACCAATAACTTTGGTCCTTTTTAATCTTAAAAGTGATGCAGGAGGTCGATAGTCCATTTTCTGTAGGTACCCTACCTACCAAGGGAACCAAAAAGTCATTTCCCTATCTTACTTTAGGAAGTGACATGGGAAATTAAGTTGACAAGTTGCCACGATCAGGACCAGAAGACATCAACTTATTCTTTTGCTAAAAGAGAAATTAGTGAAAAGCAGCCTTTAAAAGTAAAAAAGTGTTCCTATATGGATATGGTTAATAGAATTTTTAAGAAGAAACGTAAAAATAGTAAGGAAATGTAAAGCTTATAGATTTAATGTATTAAAAATATCTGTCAGCCATAGAAACAGCATAGCAGATTGATAGCTATTGTAAAGATGGCAGCCTATAACCATCTGTTGTCTATTTTAGATGGTACCAGTCAGGTCTTAGCTACCCTCCTTAGAAAATGTTTTCATTCAGTACTGAGTGTAAATGACTCATAGTAATAAAATATTTTAGTTCTTGATCAATCTGGCTATTTCTTCTTTTGTTTTATTTTTGGAATGTGAATCCAAGAAGCATGTCCTAATAGTTTTGAAAAAATGAAACCATAGATCATAGAATTTTCCCCACCTTGGAATAAAACTTTTAATGTCATGTCCTGCCTTTTAGTTACATATAGAATGAAAGGCCTATCAAAATTTGGAATTTCTGCCAGGTGTCTGTGGCTCACACCTGTAATCCTGGCTACTCAAGAGGCAGAGATCAGGAGAATTGCTTTGAACAGTTAGTCAAGGCAAACAGTTCTTGATACGCTATCTTGAAAATACCCAACACATAAAAGGGCTGGTGGAGTGGCTCAAGTGATACAGCACCTGCCTAGCAGGTATGAGGCCCTGAGTTCAAACCCCAGTACAAAACCAAAAAAATATATAATTGCTGGGGCAGGTACCAGTAATTCTTTCAGCTTTGAGAGGCTTTTTTTGTAGTTTATTTCAGGTGTTTACAGTCAGGTCCTGGGTTACCTCATAAAAGGACTAAAAGGACTTCTTTATTACCCCAAAGCCAGAGTTCTAAACCCCAGCCATTTACAGTAAGTTTTAAGCTATTTCTTTGAGGAGGCCCTACTTTTAAGAAGAACTTTCTTTTTTCAGGGGTAAGAGTTTGTTCTTCTGGTGCTATAAGATGGCCTAGATAACTTTACTTTTTGCTTAGCGATCTGTGCCTTTAATGGAAAGGATCCTGTAGACCCCAAGAAGTTTAAGATCATCCACATACTGATGTAGAGCTCTACAATGTAAAGTTAAAAACTTCAATTCCCTTGCTAAGGTGTTTTGGTTGTTAATGTAATCTTTTCTCCAAGACAATAAGTTTAGAATCTGTCACACTACACTGAGCTATTGAGAACAATAAGGTTTTATTTGTCTCCTTGGCTATCTCCAGCATCAGATTAGGTGCTACTATCCCTTGCAAAAGTAAAACTAAGGTTATAATCAATGGCTGTTACATTTTGATGGAATAGATTTAATTGCTAAAAATAAAGTATCTATTAAATTGCCTATGTGAGATACCCACACATAAGAATCCATTTTTCATAACTGTGGCTTTAGTTACTTTAGAAGGGTTGGCAGGGTGACTCCATTTTGCTATTGGTTTGAATACAGGTCTTGTTACATAGTTCACGTTGGCTTAGAATTCTCTGTGTAGTCCGTGATCCTCCTGTTTCGGCTGCCCAAGCACTGGGATTTTAGGCATGTAACACCATGCCTGGTGTGATTCCATTTTTATTTTGACAAATTTTCCCTTGTTTCTGAACAGTTTTCTTCTGAAGGCATCCATTGACCAGTTACCCGGTTTGTCTTTAATTGTCCTTCATTGCCAGGCTGAGATGCCCAGGATAGTCTGGCATCCATTTTTTGAGTTTAATTCATTCTGCTGTGTAGGTAATATCCTGGCATCTTAAAAAATGCTGCTCAGTTTACTTTGTTAGATAGAAATACTTTTCCTACAGATGTCTTCCATGAGTTTGACTGTAAACACCTTAGAGAAGGATCCAAACTTGTGAGATTCAACTCCTGGCTCAGCCTAGCCATTCTTCTGTGACTAGATGAGGGATGAGAGGGTTCTCTCAGTTACCCAGCTTCCATGCAAAATTCAGAAATTTGAGATTCCTATGTGCAAAGCATTTCAAGTTGTCTCACTCACAAAAAGGTCAAAGTCTCACAAGGCCATAATTTTAGAAGAGGATAAGGTAGGGAGAAGTGGGAAAAAAGTGTGGAGGATATTTCTTACTCCCTTTGCAGGAAATGAGAAAATCCAAGATTCTTGGATTTTAAAACTAGGGAGTAGTACAACAAAAATTCAAATATCACCTAGATTTTTAGAGGAAAAAAAATGAATAACGTTTAGTGATCTGCCATTAGTAAAATGGTATGTTATATGAGTACACAGGTAATAAATGATAATAGGATTTGTGTTTTTCATTGTATCACTGTTAACAAATAGGTGAAGAATCGAAAGAATTAACTTTTTCTCATACTGCCTGAGAAGATACAAAAATGTATTATTGAACTTTTTTGTTTTTTATTTTATTTTTTATTTATTTATTTGTTTTGCAGTACTGGGGACTGAACTCAGGACCTATACCTTAAGCCACTCCACCAGCCCTTTTTCATGAAAGGCTTTTTTGAGCTAGGGTCTCAGGAAGCATTTGTCTGGGCTGGCTTCGAACCATGATCCTCCTGAGTAGCTAGGATTATAGGTGTGAGCCACTGGCACCTGGCTTTTATTTTAATTTTTATAGTGCTCTTAAAACTTAAACTGATTCAATAAAAATTTGTCATGGCTTCTATTAAGTCTCCATTGTTATATCTTACAATAGCGGGACCCCCCAGAAGAGGAAATACCATTTTGTACTCTAAAATCCTTTCCAGCTGCTATTGAACACACTATACAATGGGCAAGAGATAAGGTAAAAGTTCTTTTTAAGGAATTTGTTTTCTTTGAAATAAAAAGGAAGGTAGTTCCAACTTTTAAAGAGTTTCGTTTGCAACATTTTTGTCTTCCTTACAGTTTGAAAGTTCCTTTTCTCACAAGCCTTCATTGTTTAATAAATTTTGGCAAACCTATCCATCTGCAGAAGAAGTCTTACAGGTAACAAATAAATTTGTTTTAATACAGACATAACAGTTTCTGTCAATATAATTTTACGTTCAAGTTGCCTACAAATTATTTATTTTACCTGCATTAGGAATGGTTAAAGTATTACCATTGTGCATAAAAAGTGAAATGATACATCAAGAATCTGGAGATTAGGTCACAAAATGGCCTTTGTTAATAAAGATGAACTATATGAAATTGTCCATGTTTAACCCACAAAACAGCAACTCAGGTGGTTCAGACTAATAAGGATGTGATGTTAATGATAAAAGAGCAACAAATAAAGGGCTTGCAAAGCTGTTTGGGAAAAAAGTTGAGGAAAGTTCAGATAAAAATGTCTTGAGGGGACAGTAATCTTAGACTTATTACTCCTATTATGAGAGCAGCTTCGAAGATTTTTTTACATTCCTTAGTTCTGTACTACTAAAAAGGTCAACTTTTTTATATTCATTTTTATTCCTAGGACTCCATATAGTAAGTACATACATGGCACTGATAATTTACACCTAGGACAATGAAGGTATCTTGTGAATTAACCAACTTGAGAGTTAAAATTTTCTGTGGTATCTCTTTCCATTCCTTCCTAATTAAAAAAAAAAAAGTAGGCAGAGAGAGAAAAGAGGCTTGATGTGAAAAAATAGAATAAAAATTTTGAACACATGAGCTGGCACTTCAGCTTTTGATTAATACTTTTGAAATGAGTGTGCATTTGTAATTGGACCTGTGTTTTGTTTTATTTTCTTCTCCCGTTCTAGAAGATAAAAAGTGGACAGAGTTTAGAAGGCTGTTTTCAAGTTATTAAGTTACTTAGCAGAAGACCTAGAAATTGGTTCCAGTGTGTAGAACTAGCAAGATTAAAGTTTGAAAAATATTTTAACCATAAGGTAAGTTTGTATCATGAGACATCAGTTAATTTAGTTATTACTAAGTTAATTTCATTGACCTAAAATGTCTTTTCTTCTTTTCAGAAATAAGTAGTAACTTAAGTAGAAGAAAGGCTGGGCATACAACTAATCTGTCTTTGAGTGTTACTAATTAAAGAATTTGCCACACCCAGTGACTTACACCCTTGGGAGGGGGGATTGGAGGCCATCTCAAGCAAGAAGTTCACAAGACCACATCTCAGCCAATAAAACTGGGCATGGTAGCAAGCACCTGTCATTCCAGCTATGCAGGGAAGCACAAATAAGAAGTTTGTGGTCCAGGCTGGCCCAGGCATAATGTTAGACCCCATCTCAAAAATAACAATGTGCCTACCAAGTGCAAAGCCCTGAGTTCAAACCTCAGTACCTAAAAAAAGGAGAAAAAAAAAAAGAGTTTTAAAATACACTTATTGGCTTGTTATTTAACTGATCTTGTCTAGTTGGGTTTTACATAGCATTTCTTTCTAGAGAATGACAAGTATATTCTGTCTATAGTCTACTTTGTTCAAAATAGAAGCAAGAGGCAGATACAATAAGATAATTTTTGTCAGAAATTTTGTTCAAGTTTTACTTTTTCCACCATATGTCATAAATACATTTTATGTCTCTTTCTTCACCTGTAAATTGAGGATAATAAATTGATATCTAATACATAGGGTAGTGATGATGATCAAATGAGTTAATATATGCAAAGTATTCAGAACAGAATATGGCATGTAAATAATCACTAAATGTTAGTCATCATTCTTACTTGCAGTTACATACAATTGTGATATTTTTGTTTGAACTCAGGGCTTTGTGCTTGTGAGCCAGGCATTACACCACTTAAAGCATGCCTCCAGGCCTCCTATTTCCTTTTTAGTCACTCTTTTGCCTATTACAGAATAAACCCCAGTACCATCAAAAAAAAAAAAAAAATCTTATGATTATACTTACCTGTCCTTTCACTTTATTCATGGCTCTATTTTTTAGGAAATTGGTCTAAAGTCACATTCTTATCCAGAAAAATGTGTCTTCTTTTACCATTATTGTCAGTGTTTCAGAACTTAAAGATTGTTTTTAGATCATATTATCTGTGTATTTGTTCTTTAGAGTTTTTTTGGGGGGGGTGGGTATTTTTTAGGTGCATGCCCATGTTATTGGGTATTGAACCAGGTCCTCATACTTGCTAGGCAAGTGCTCTAGCCCTTTAGTTTTTATTTTCTTTTTGAGATAGGGTCTCATTAACTTTGGCCCAGCTAGCCTCACACTCAAAAACTTCTGCTTCTGCCTCCCAAGTAGCTGGGATTACAAGTGTATACTACCACACCTGTTATTCTGAGAGTGGTTTTTAAAATTTTTGAATATGGAAAATTTCCAACCATAGAAATGTAGAGAAAATAGTATAGCTAACAATCCCAGTACAATCATTATTAACCTAACATCTAAATTTAACCATTATCAGCCTATAATTTTGTATTATCTACATTCCATTCTCACCCTCTCCCAGATGATTTTGAAGCACAGCTCCAGCACATATCAAGATACAGTATACTGTGCATTTTCACTTGACTTTCTTCTGGTTTAAGGATTAGTTCTTCAGTTAAAAAAAAAGTGCACAAAAAATGATAATATAAAGTATGCCATTTATATTAAAAGGAGTGAAGTAGGCAGATGAGGTGTACATGCGTATAATCATAGCACTTGTGGGGATGAGGCAAGAGTTCTCAAATTAAGGCAAGTCTGGGTTATGTAGCAAGACCGTGTTTCAAAAACTCAACAATAATTAAAGGGATAAAGTAATCTATGTTTGTATTTGCTGTACACATTAAAAACTACATTGATTAAAAATAATTTAAAAAAAGTTTATTGTTAAAATAAATGATGATAAAAGCTGAGCTGTAATGCCAGCTGCTAAAGAGGTGGAGCCAAGAGGATCACAAGTTTGAGACCAGCCCAGGCAAAGGTAATGGTAAGACCCTGTGTCAGAAACAAAATAAAAACAAAAGACTAGTGTCAAAGCTCAAGTGGTGGAGCATTTTCCTAGCATGCACAAGGCCCAAGTTCAATCCTCAGCATCACAAAAAGAAAAAAAAAAATATGTGTGTGTGTGTGTATGTGTGTGTGTGTGTGTACGTGTGTGTGTGTGTGTATATTTTTCTTTAACCCTGGTTATAGTGGGATAATGACAGAAGAATAAAGAATGAACAGACTGAATTAAAGGGTGGCTGGGATTCTTTAATGTGTTTGGATTTATAAAGCATAAGCATATATTAACACAAAAAAATTTTATTTTAATAAAAATAGTTTTTTCCTTGATAATATTTAGTGGGCTTATTTAATTCAACTTTTTTTCTTTAGGCTCTTCAGCTTCTTCACTGTTTTCCTCTGGACACACAATTAAAAGATGGCAGTAAGTATGAACAAATGCTGAGAAGAAATTGTAATACAATTTGCTCTTTGCTGACTACAAATATACCAAATAATATTTGTGTCTTTTTGTCAGGTTTGTTTTGGCAATCGCCAAAAAGGCCACCTTCTCCAATAAAATTTGATTTAAATGAACCTTTGTAAGTATGTATATCTGTTTTAACTGTAAATGTTTTAATTGTACATTTCAGTGTCTTTCATGTTAAATTATTGCATCCTTATTAATCCAAGAATTTAACAAGCCATTCTGATCAACAAAGCTAGCAACAACCCTTCTTCCCACACAAATGTGAATCCATTTACTTACATGGTAAATAAATTCATTATTTTTAATATCTACTCTATGGTAAAACCAAAATCATCTCTTTGACTTTGTCAATACAAAAGTAAAATGACAATAAATATTTTTGTATTTAATAAAGCTAAGAATCTTTAGTTATATGGAAGAAGCAATTATTGCTGAGTATCTCCCTAAATTAATCTCAAGTAAGTTTTCAAAGGAGTTGGTCTCTACATGAATGCCTGGGTACAGACACTATGTTATATTCACACTTATGTGCCTATATTTTAATTAAACACTTAGCTTGCCTTCATTAATCTTCCTTTCTACAAATAGCATTTTGCTTGAGAAAAGCTATTAAATAGCTTTGATTTGTTGCTTGTCACAATATCCTATACTCACAATATCCTGAACTGCTTTTTCTATAAGATGTAACCTCTTTTTTTGTTTTGTTGTGTTTTTACACAAGCTAAATTTGTTAGTTTGAACCTGAAATATATTCTGTAATACCTGGTATATAATATTTAGTTAAGAATTAAAATAAAATTTTCTTCCACTAGTCTTAAATTTTCTACTTCTGACTTTCATGTCTATCTTCAAAGTAGTTGTGATGACTACCTGTGTTTTTTATGATAAATATTTGATATTTTCTCTTTTATAACTTCTGCAGTGTTTTGGCCTAGACTAGAATTTCATTGTCTAACTTTAAAATACATATAATCCTGTAATAAAAATTCTGTGACTGTTTTTCCTCCAACACTGTTTTAAAGATAAGTTAAATGTCTCCTTCAGAACCATGCATTCAAATTTGCTTTGTTTTTTAATTTAAAAAGGCACCTCAGTTTCCTTCAGAATGCTGCAAAACTGTATGCTACGATATATTACATTACATTTACAGAAAAGGTAAGATACTCTTCAAGCCCTTGCTAGTAATAAAAAACCAAGCTAGAATTGTTAATTGATTCAAAATGTATTTTTATGTTATAATAATGATTCTTCAAGCCACAATCCTCCTGATCTCTACCACCCCAGTAGTTAGGAAGACAAGGCATGAACCACTGGTGTCCAGCAGAATGATTCTTTTTGATATAAACTTTTTTTTTATGTTGTATTACTGCCGTCCTACCATAGCAGAAGCTAAATATTCATTGCAGTATTAGTAAATAAAAGAAAGTTTAAATTTTCTTGCATTTATGAAGTAATGAAACACCAATATTTGTAAAAACAATCATGCTTCATTTTTAAAATATTTATAACCTGTTTATCCACTCTGATATCCTAGTTATTCTAAAAGGCCAAAGTGAGTCATTTCAGAGCATTTTAGAAATACTTCTTAAAGATTCTCTTTAATATATTTTACTTATTTCGTAATGTTAACTTCTGTGCTTTTCCAGAAACATAAAAATGGTCCCCCATATTGACCTGTCTTACCCTTATCATCATTCTCTTAGATATCATCTTCATTGACATATGAAGGGCCAGATACAGTGTTAAGAGGCAGTTGTGCATGTCAGTTTTTCTTTGAAAAAGCATATCAATGCTTAAGAAATTCTATACTTTCAGGTAAACAGTGGTGAAATATGAAGTCAGTTGTTTCAGTGTGGGGTTTTTTGTTGTTTTTGCTTTGTTTGATACAGAATTTTGCCGAGTGGCTAGCCTGGAACTCTAATGTGTTTTGTTTTTTTGATTTCCCCTTACCCCCAATACTAAGGATGGAACTCAGGGCCTTGTGCATATTAGGCAAACATCCAGCCAGTGAACTGATATCCCCAGCTCTAGCCTGGAACTGTTGATCCTCCTGTTTTAGTCTCCCAAGTGCTGGAATTACAAGCATGCATCACCATACCCACCTGACTCTGCCTGTTGGTGATACATACTTCTGGAACTTAATATAGATAAAACAACCAGTAAATGTCTAATAAAAAATGGTGGCATTCGGTCTGGTATTCTTTTTATGAAAAGAATGATAGCTATGTTATGAGAGGGCTAATTGACCTCAGACACAGTATGCCTTAGTTTTTCCTAAACAGCTTCTTAACAGAGAATGTGTATACAGTAGCTTTAAACTCATCTAAGTTCATCTTGAACTGTGTAAATGTTTTCCTGCTTCTTAGGGTCTGAATTCCATTAACTTATGTATTTATTGAAACTTTGTAAAACTCTGACACTAAGGAAATAAAAACGATAAACTTTTTATAGCTTACAGAATGAAGATTTCAGATATTTTTACTAATAAGTGTGTTTTCACCTCCCAGTAGTCATCATGGGTGATAATTCTATAGAAATAAAGGTAAATGTTTCAAATGAATATAGTTTAAATATTCAGATAGTTAAATATTTAAATACAGGACCTTTTATAGGATATTTTTATCTTTAGATTTTAGAATTGGAAGAATATGTTTGTTGATAAAATTACTTTTTTAATGAATAGGACTTAGCAGCAGATGCCCTAATGAATATTCTTTCAGAAGTAAAGATTCAGGAATTCAAACCTTCCAACAAGGTAAATTTACAAATTCATTCATTTAGCTAATAGTTATTAAATTTCTGCTTGTGACAAGTTCCATTCTAAATGTGGAGACTATCACAAAGAACAAAGTTCTTGCCTTTGTGAGTATTGTATTCCAGTGAAACAAGTGATTATAAACAAAAATACCAGTAAGTATACAATATTGCAATGTAGACACAAGTGCTAAGAAAAGAAATAAAAGAGGGAAAAGGAAAAGAAATACTGGGGACGGGATAATCCTTTTATGTGGAATGGAAGGGTCAAGCCTCTCTCCGGTAACAGCATCATTTGCAGTAACTTAAAGGAAGTGGAGGAAAGAGCCATGCCAATACCTGGTAGTGATCTTTTCTCCAACCATGTACTGGTAAAAGAACAATGCAGACATTAGGAACAAGTAAAAAGAAAGGCTTTTACAGCTAGGATTGTCTGTATGAGAATATGCTGAGGGGAGAGTGTAAACGTGAGATGTGAGAGGTGATTGGGGTTATGATAAGTATTTGTGTGTTTTACTGTGAGATAAGAGGCTAATGGAGGGTTTTAAGCAGAGGAGGAGTAACATGGTAAGACTTAGATTTAAAAGGATGACTCTGGGGCTTTAGGTGTATCTCAAGTGGTAGAGCGCCTGCCTAGCAAGTGTTAAGGCCCTGAGTTCAAACCACAGTACCACCAAAAAAAATCAGTTCCCTAAAAAGGATGACTGGCTATTTAGTTACGAATGAATATATGGGGCATACAGAGAGGAAGCAGGAAAAGCTATTAGGTGATTACAAGAATGCAGGCCAGAGATGGTGGTGATTTGAATGAAGTAATAAATAATAGGACAGTGGTGAGAAGGAATTAGATTCTATGTATACTTTAGTGTAGTCCTGAGGGGACTTCCAAGGGATTGAAATTCAAGTGTGACAGTAAACATTATTGTTTTCTTACTTAAAAAGATGTAGAATTGAGCCAGGCACTGGCATCTCACATTTGTAATCCTAGCTAGTTAGGAGAGGCATCAGGAGGATTGCTGTTAGAAGGCAGCCCAGGCCCAGGAAAATAAGTTCATGAGACCCTACCCCAAAAATATCTAGCACTAAAAAGGACTGGAGGAGTGACTCAAGTGCTAGAGCATCTGCCTAGCGTGAAGCCCTGTGTTCAGACCCCAGCACCACCAAATAAAAGATGTAGAGTTGCCATACAGCACCGAGAATCCACTTAATATGCATATTGTATTGTACTAAATCTGGGTGGCCAAAAGATCACTATCTAATAAGTAATTTTTTAAGAATAAAGTATTTGTGGTTTAACTGAAAACTCCAGATGGGAGGAACACCAACTAGGAAGTATTGGCCAATTTTTCCCCTTCTTTTAAAATGCATGACAATGAGCAGATTTTAAAGAGTTTTTAATGTATGTAACAATGAATAAATCAATATGAACTAGTTATAACTCCCCTGCCATGTCCAAGACCTTAGTGCCTAGGATTTTCTTCCCCTTTTTTTAAAAGGTGGCATTTATTTTTTGGGCTTATGAAAATTTTAAACTTGTAACAAAAATTAATTAAAAAACAGTTTGCCATTAAAAAAAAAGTATTTGTGGTTTTATACTGCCTTTACCATGCCAAACTTTGTGTATGAAGGAAGACACAGTCTTCAAGAAAGAACTTCTTGTTGATAAGTATTTAAAGGATGCCCATATTATATTTTTATGGATTTCTTCAATTTCTGTTACTACATAAAACAGCGCTACACTAATTAAAGATACGCAATTTGAGTTGAAAGTAGATTTGTCAGAATTAACAATACGGAATTTCAGAATAGATTATATCTGTATAATCTATTCGGTACTTTTTGTTTTGTTTTGTTGCTTTACTAGGGTTTGAGTTTACTAGGCAGGTGCTCTACTGCTTAAGTCATGCCTCTAGCTGTTTTTTGTTTTGTTTTTTGGGTTTTTTCCTGGTTATTTTGGAGATAGGGTCTTGCTTTTTTTGCCCAGGTTGACCTGGACCACAGTCCTCCTATTTTACTCTTCCTGCTATAGCTGGGACAACAGGTGCACAGCACCACACTCCATCCAGTTTTTTACCATTGAGGTGGAACCTTACAAACTTTTTTTTGTTTACGCTGGCCTGGAACTGCAATCCTGATCTCAGCCTCGAATGTAGCTTGGGATGACAAGTATGGTCCATCACACCTAGCTGTTGTTTGAAATTGAGTCTCACCAACTTTTTTCCCAGGCTGGCCTTGAACTCTGATTCTTTCAATCTTTACCTCCCAAGTAGCTAGGGTTACAGGTGTGAACCACTGGTGCCCAGCTTCATTCCATATTTTTAGCACCAGTATGAAAAAGTTTGTTTTAGGTCTACTGGAGGGTCTCTTTGGTGAACAAGATAAGAGCCCTATTCTTAATAGAGTATACATGGCAGTGTGAGAGAATAGATAATAAAGTAAAAAAAAAACCACACAAATAACAATATTACTTATTAGGAAAAGTTGTACATTGGATTGTAGTAATTAATGATATAATTAAAATACAGGGAGAAAATACTATCTCTTTTGATCTACTTGATAAATTGTAACCAAACCAACATTAATAGATATATTTACGTATACTTAAAGGTTGTTCAAACAGATGAAACTGCAAGGAAACCAGACCATGTTCCTATTAGCAGTGAAGATGAAAGGAATGCTGTTTTCCAACTAGAAAAGGCTATTTCATCT